GGGGGCAGACAGAAGAGAAAGCGCAGCATGTTAATTACAAGCCCTAAACATCCATATGATAATTGTCTGACAATAGTCAGGGCGACACGCTTCTGTCTGACAACATTGTGTAGCCAGGAGACCTACATACATATTGAACCACTCTAAATTCCCTACATATTCTCTTTTAGGAAAAATCTCAGTGTCCTTTTTTAGGAATCCCATCCAAGCTACCTGTCAGTTTTCATCACAGTGGCTAAATGACAAAGTAAGCCCCACACATTGCCCACATTGAATTGTCACGGGTGAGAAAGAAGCCAAGCGTTGGAGGAGGACACCATGAATTGGTAATGTTATTGGATTTCAACCAGGTCATGACCACATCAAAATGTTGACCTACACGCTAATCCTTGCTGGCAGACTGACGCACAGTAACTTGTGAATTCATTTTAGCGTTGCTTCAGAGGCTTACATCCACTACACACACAAGATGCATTTAAAAGTATAGCCTACGGTTGATATTTTGATAAGATCAAAGAAGGATTGGACCTGGAGGTGGCTTTCAGGCACAATTGCCAACAACAGCCTTTTGTCCTTGGAGGGTGAAATTACATTATTTTATTACGTTGTTATGAAACTATATATCATAGTTCCCTATCACTTATTTGAAAATCTCAATCATAGTCCAGTGACACATTTATTCAGTTTCGTACAGTTATTACAGTATGTCCATATAATGTATATTTCTAAAGGTCAGACCTTCTATAAACTATTTTCTCTCGAAGAATTATAGCTTTATATTTCAATAAAATGTCCCCAAATACTTTATTTAATGTCTGTACATTTTATTATAAAATCAAAGATTATCCTGTAAAGAATGAATTACATATTAATAATTCCATTTAGCTGTGATGATGGAGTGGAAGGCCTCGCACTTCTGACCTGAATGAGGAGACAGAAACATAAAAATATGAACGGGCATATAGCTCCACTCAGGTTATTCTATAGAGAGTTAGCCTACATCTCACACACCCACATCACACTGCTTCCTCTTCTCTGCTTGCAAATACATCTGAAGGACAGAGTACAAAGGAGAGAGAGAGAGAAGGGTGTGAGATAGAGGGAGAGAGAATGAGAGAGGTAAGGTGGGAGTAAGAGAGAGAGTATTGATTACTTGATTCCCGTACCTCTGCCAGTGAGTGCAGAGTGTCAAGATCTCCCGCCAGGAAAAACAAATCACAAGGCTGAAGTGATGGATGTGGCACTCCAGGATCCGGCGGTTTTGCCATCTGGATGGCCGGCACTGTATATCAGCCTCATACACAGCAAATTAAATATACATTTGGGCGGCTTCCCCGGGCCTCAGCACAGATGCACCAAAAGCAGCCCTCCGCCACAACTCCCTTAATGGCTTTGATCTATCATTTCCAGGTCTATTATGTAAAGATGATGTTGGGCCGTGTTCAGAATGTCGAAATGATGTTACCGTCACAATACAATTGCATTATATGCAGCCAAATGGATGTTAAGCAAAATGACATCACCTCTAATTTCCTTAAGATGAGTCAATACTAATCCAACTTGCCAATTTGTTTTGATGCCCAGTCAAACATCAGTGAAATAATGGCGCAAATCGAATAAAACCCCAAGTCCATCATCATTTTTTTGGCTCTAATGCATTTCTCACCCCTTTTTATTTTTAAATGTTTTGGCTGTCATATACATAGTACAATAAATATGCTCAAGCATTGGTCAAAGGATTTAAAAAGTATTTTACCAACAGGATAAGTAGAGGTGTAAGGCTAAATGTATATAGCAGCAGGTTATTCTGCTTAGCAGCGCTCCATAACCCAAAATCTAACCCGGCTCTGAAGAGGCTGCGATGCTTAAATGAAATGACCTTTAACGCAGAGCTGATCGAATGGCCTGAAGCATCACTATAAAAGAACATTGCAGTATAATGTTTTACAGTGTACTTTTTTCTGGTCTTTTGTTTGCCCTCTACCATTTTCCAACAGGGGAAAATGTATCGTGTTTGGGAGTGCATTGAAAATGTGTTGTTAGAGTAGACATGGTAGCAGAATAATGAAGCAGTGTAAATTCAACAATTTATTTTTCTATCATTTTTTTAAAAAGATACTGAAATACCTTGAAAGATTAAAACAAATATTGAATTAAACTTCTTCTGCTCTGTACTTTGTTTTTCTCAAATCTCTTCATGGCTGCTTGTCCTCTAAATGTCAGAGGTGTGATGTGATGGCTCTTAACAATCATTTAAAGGACTTTGCTAAGCCGCACTCTGCAGCACAAGTTGAGCATGCAAGATGTACAATTGTGCTCTGCACTTCAGCCCCCTCCGCTCCTCAATAATCAGATCTAATTTCTTTAAGGATATAGAGTTGCGTGGAAAGCAGAGTAACAGCTGCTCCAGCACCAGGCAGAGTGTGAGCGTTTTGACGAATAAATTCAGCAGCCAAACACTGTAGCTGTCTGGATTCACTTCTCATCTGCCCCTCTCTCCTTAACCTAACCTCCCAGACCCCATTGATGCAGCAATGTATTTCATGCCCTCACCACTCTACTGCCTCTCTTTTCAGACAACCGACGACTTGCTGGTGGCATCCGCCGAGTGTCCAAGCGATGATGAGGACATTGATCCCTGTGAGCCGAGCTCAGGTGGGTTAGGTTAGTCATCTTTTTTTATATTCTACTTCTCTCTGGGCGTGTCACTGTGTCTATGTGTGTCATAGTCCACCCGCACCAAAGAAGTATTTACACACAGTGTTCAAGTGAGCAGATTGGAGTTTCCGACAGAGCTTGAACACTTCTCAGAGGCAGAGTTGTTCTTACTTTTGCAACCGACGTCTGCACGATACAACAAGCTGGAGGCTATCCATTAGCTCTGGGTTGGAAACTTCTATCCTGCCACTGAGTATGGCTTTACCAGTTCTCATATGTCAGGATATAGGAATGTAAAATATAAATGCAGTAAAACGTGTAAAAGGCTATGTTTTTTAGTGTTTGTTTTTTTATCTGGATTGCCTCAAGCTACAATACACAATCTATACCTGAAAGGTCGGATAGGTTAACATTTAACTACATATCGCTTAAAGCAATATTACAACCTTTTTGGAAACACTCTATCTGTTGACATATCTTGACTACATATGAAGCTACACTGTACAGCCAGCAGTCTGTTAGCTGAGCTCCACATAAGGACTAGAAATCAAATAACCAGCTTACCTGTGCTCACTAATTAAACACGTCCTAACTTAATCATTATTTACATAATTTAGTGAACATGGAATAGGCCAGGCTGGCTACTCCCCCTGTTTCTAATGTGTTTGCTAATCTAAGCTGATTGTGGCAGCTGGTTCTAGAGTCATGGTTACTTCACAGACAAATAAAACAGAATAAACACATTTCCCAAAACTTTGAGCTATTTCTGTAATTATATGAATTGCTTTCAGTTAATAGCTACTGATGGTTTTCATGATATTAGCTTCCTCTTCTGGTTCGTAATGGATTATTTGGCTACCTACCACTCATTGTCATTTTAGTCAACACAAGTAGCTTTTCAGAGCAGCTCTGTCTTTGAGAATTGCATGCATAACTTAAAGTCAACACGGCTTAAGGTGTTTTGCATGCGTCAAAGCAGTTGTCATTACCACATTTTTATATTGTGCACTTATTTTGCTGTCTTAACCTCATGGCATTGCTTAAGTGCATACTGAAGAGTTCTCAGAACAACACACACTTGTAATTATTAGACCCACGTGACTCCGACACTCAATATCACAGAGAGTTAACCGAGAGAGGAGTGGGTGAAGGCTGATTTTTACAAAAGTGTGTGAATGGTCTCCTCTGTTGTTAATCAAGTTCTATCTCCTGTTGTTTCTTACAATAGTTCACGTTAACTGCAGGGGACTTCCCTTGAAGTTTAAGATTGCAGCACATATATCACATACAGTATGAGGTGTTTGTCTTCATGAAGCAAACAGAATGAATTTGATCTTTAGTTCTTACTGTGTTCAAGAGCCCAAATATATTGAAACCAAACAAAGCACTTCTTTGTTGTTTTCAGTTTTATTCGGAAAAATTGCTGTTGTTATACTGTTTGTTCTCTGCAATGCCGTCAAACTTTTAATCTCTTACCTTGCCACACAAGGAAGGCAATTAAGTCTAACCCTTGCTCTCGCCTTTGAATAGAAGGATTTTCAAATGCATTCGGAAGTGATGAGACGCACAGAGAACAATTAAGTCAAGGCCCAAGGCCCCCCACTCCATCTAGATGTGCTATCGATCAGTATGTGGTCATAAAACCTGCACTAAATTAATGTCTGCCCCACAGCAAAGACTATCAACTTTCTAGTCTGTGTCTCTTCCTGTTCCTCTGGCCTTCCACTAGCAAGAGAACTTGACTCTACAGTTACTCTATCCCTATGTATTCCTCTAACTCTCATACTGCACATTAGAGTGATATTCCCATTGGGTAGCATCACAATAGGTGCTTCCAATGTACATCTGTTACCTCTGTCAAACACCATACACAGGAGATTGGTCTGCGTGCTGATTCACACCAACAGCTTGCATTATGATATTTTTTGACAAGGGCATCTGCCAAAACATCAGTCGCGAACTGTGCGATGCTCAGGGACGCACACTCCCCGAGCAGAGTATCCCTCTCCTTCTGTGATCACCGAAGGGGATTTGACACCAGAGCTGTGGGCTCCCACGGTGGCAGCTGTCTAACACTGTATCCTGATTAATATCTACATTCAGAAGGATTCACACGCTCTGCCAAGCACTCGCCACATCTCAGACGGGGTTGCTGTGCATAAAGAAGTGGATCCACTGTCACTGATAAGGGTCCACTCTATCATATTACTGTTCAGCCAACTCCTTTTAATGACACTAATAATGTATCATTTTTCAAACAGAGCCTCGACAGTGTGTTTTGTCTGACGACTCAAAAGAAAGTGAGATGCACCCACTCTTCATATATCTTTCTCTCAACCATGTGTTTGGGTTTAACAGCAAATCAGTAGGATATTGTGGGTGCAGAGGTGATCCCAATAGGTGAGCTCTGAAGCAGACTATTATGTGAGCTTTCTTAGCCCAAGGTCATCCTGTGTGTCATCTGGAGTCCAACAGCTGTTGAGTGACATCAATCGGGTAAACTTGCTTATTGCCATGCTGTATTTATTTTACCTCCGGAAACCATAGAAAGCCAGTGGTGCCAGCAAAGCTTATCACCCAGCAAGACTCAGATTAGATCATACTGCAGCAAATTGAATCTCCCCCCTGGTTCAGGAAACCACTGAGGAATACACAGACCCCCGATGCTGCAACACATCTGATCTGTAATGGGGCTGGATCGGGGACTGTGCATGTGCTAAGCAGCAGGGCTGTGACAGCTGAAAAGCACTGCCACTATGATTACAAGCATCTATCTTTGTGATGTCTATTGGGAAAATTGGGAAGCAAAAAGAAATGCTCCATGAAAAATTGCTTCCACCTCACCTTCTTTGACAGACAAGAGATATGCAAATATGCTGCATAATGAACTATATGTACCGGTGCCTTTAAGGGCAGATCTGGTGTTGTGAAAATACTTTATAAATCCTGACATTTAGCTTAAAGTAGTCCCGCATTTTCTACACCAAAAAAAAAGATTTTTCATCTAAAGGCCAGGATGAAGTGTTGGCCAATCATCCAGAGAAAATCGTTCAGTTGTGTGAAAATAGCCTGATGAACAGTCGCTGGAGATGGCGTTTGGCGCTGATTTTCAAGTACCAACCTCGGTTTTCATGGGGAAAGTTAATGGAACAGGTTGTTTGGCGAGCAGCATGGGGTCACAGGGAACGGATGTCTCTTACCTGCCTGCTTCATTTCAGTGGCGTCATGCAGGACGTTGATGGAGGGCAGCTGCTGCACTGTGGCCCATTATCCAAGGTTACACCCCGCAACTGCCTTTGTTCCTCATCAGTTGGTGTTGCTCTTGAGTGTTCTTACTGCTAGTCCTCCATTTATTTTTAAATAATCTAACTTCAGCTCCCAGATCTGATATATTTCTAGATTCTTATACTGTAGAAAATGTGCAGTATGGTGACAAGGATATGATAGTTATTGTAACAACATGTTATATTCTGAGCGTCCATAGTTTACTGGTGTAATACATAGCATTATACCTACCTTGTCAAAATAATCCTTATATAACTGTCACTTTAGAACCAACACCAGTATGCACCATGCGGAAATAATGATGAAGGACAGCATCTGAAAGTTTCTCTTGCTTTTGATTTCAGAGCACACATTGTTTCTCGACCCACTATTTCGTCTTTCTTCTCAAAGTGCAAATAATAAGAGTGATATCCTATCATGATATATACTGCATCAGCCAGCTGTTTATCTTAAGCATGTTTACACCTTTTGAACTACTCCACCGTCATTAATTATGAAACATGCAGTCGTGTGAAATGTGATTTGTATGATAGAAATTAGCTTTTTGTCAAATACATGATGCACACCAGCAGTCTCAGTGAGAGATTTGGTGTATGGACCCTTCTACCTTTCACAAATAATCTCAGTGCTTTTATTCTCAGCTCCAGTAGCCCTTCACTGCTGAGTGCCTATAGGCAGGTTAAGGTTAATCATCTCTAGTTTCCTCCTCTTTCTATGCTCTCTCGTCTTTTCCTCTCCTCGAGCATTCTGTGGAGAAAAATACGTAGCAGCTACTAATGTGTTTCACATTTGTTTTATTAGATGTAATGTATGGGTGGGGAAACAATACATTGAGTAAACCAATAAATCAAACGGCAAATGAATACTCCCTTTAACCCAATGGCAATGGCTGAAATGCACCCGGCCAGGAATGAGGAAAAATTAGAGTAAATCATTATTTTAAAAGAAGCTGTGAGATTAATGAAACATTAAGAGCTCTGTGCTGGCTTAAGAGGTCACTGCCCATATTTAATAGGTTATTCAATCATACCCAGCTGGAACTCTGTGTGGGCTCAGTCCTTTCTATGCTGAACACAGTCGCATGCTTCTTGTATGCCGACATACGCTGTAGCAGAGATTGGTTTTACGAATGAAAAGAGCCCGCTAAGGACTGGATGCCATTTCAACCTGATCTTAGCTCATGCCCTTCAAACAGCACTGATGACCTTCAAGCTACACACATGCTTTAACAAACTCTAATAACAAACACATTGCTGTCATTATTGCATGCGTTGCCAATCTTATGGAATTCTGCCTTTTTTGTTTTCCTGCACTCTTTCAGGGAGGATTATGTCGTTCAAGTCTTCTTCCTACATTCTATTTTAAATTAAGTGTGTTCTGAGAGAAAACCGGATTTCACACTTACTGTCAGTTTTTCTCTTTTCTGATCCCCCCCATGTTTATATTTTCAATTATTATTATTTTTATACCGCACCGTCTTTCAGATGTGCTGACATTGATGCTAACACTGTGTGTCTGTTTGTATGTCTAAGTAGGGCATGAAAGACTTTGCTTTGCAAAGAAAAGAAAGGAAGCCAAAGGTCACTTGTGTTGATGGTATAGTAACCTTGGTGTGGGATATATAACCCGATGACTCACAGCTGACCAGCTTATAATGATGCTTTTAAATGTTGTATTTCTCATAATTGACATCTAGCAACAGTGTGAAAGACCTCTGAGCC